TAACAGAATTAATAAATAACTAATAGAACTAATATAATGTTATAAACTAATGTTAATTGAAAGTTATTTTCTTTAATTCATATAGATAAAAAATTAAAAGTGTCATAATATAAAATAAATAGTTAAAACTTATAAATTTATTAAGATAAAAAAAATTATAATATAATAAATAATTAAAATTTATCAATTTACTAAAATAAAGAGTTACAAATAAGTTTTTACCTTAATTCTTCGCGTGGCAAATAGATGACAATAGAATTTTTTTTATTAGATAACTCTTATTGGAGGAGTGTCATGTGCAGTACTGGGCACAGGGATTTGCCAGAGTGCACTAGTACTGCTGTTATTGGTTTCTTTAAATTTTTTTTTTTTACGAGAATTGTATTTATTGGCTTATAATGAAAATGGGACTTTGGTAATTGTGTATAACTGATTATATGTACTCTTGGTTCCGATTTCTTTTATTCTTAAACCAAGCCATATATTATTTTTCTAGTATTAGTTTTCTCATATTTTTCTTTGAAAATTTATTCATGTGTAATATTTTGTATTTAATGATATGTATAATATAACTTAACGTGGGTTACGATTGTTTTTTATTTAAAAAATTATATATAATATAATATTTATTTATTTATTTATTTATTTATTTTAAATCATAGCATATTATATAATGTACAATACCAAATAAGCAGAATCATGTCTTGTAATGTTGCACTTTTTCTTCCAGCACCTGTGCGAACCAAAAGCCGGCTAAAAGGAAGGGAACAATGCTGATAATTAAAAAAAAAAAGGGAGGGAGAATTTCCCTGTCATTGTCCAATCATAAAACACCAACGCAAAATGTTCCTAAATTAGTCCGTCTCTGGTTTTATTTGATCTCCATGGTTTGAAGTGTGAACCTAGCAAAAACTGATCGTTTAAAAGGAAAAAACAAAGCATAGAACAATTATATTATTTATTTTATCTCTTAAAAATTAAAAAATTATTTTAAAAATAAAAAATAATTTAATTTATATTTTA